CTATAAAAACTATTTTCTTAATTCAGTGAAAGCACAAAAGAAACATTACTGGATGAGGTAATAAAGAATAGCTAAATGATGCAACAATGGGAACATATTCAGATTTCAGAATACAATAAGTTTGAGGCTCGTATTAAAAAGGAACTTCAATGCCCTTCATTTGATTTTGCTGGAGAATGTTTCAAGGGATTTCTGAATAACTTTATCGTTTCTAACTAAATTGCAAGGTTAGTTTGTAAAGCCAAATATCAAATTAGCATTGAAAAGAATACATATAGATTACACGTTTGCACTTAGTTTATGTACATACCCAGCACCGGGGTGTACCTTCATGTGATTGAAGGCTGATGTAGAGAGCCAAGAGTTACGCAACAATACACATGTTGTGGAGCATCTATATCTCGTATACTAACTTCACACCTCAATATTTCTCTGAAATACAACCATAAAAAATATTAAGCCAAAGTGCCTTGTCAAATCTGAAATTTACAGCATGAAAATAGTACTAAGATAACAATAAAAAAAATTAAGCCGAAGTGTCTTGTCAAATCTGCAATTTACGGCATGAAAAGACCACTAATATCACACTATCGTTTCAGAGTGGCACACTATCGTTTTCCTCTGCTAACGTACACAAATATAGAAATTCAAAAGGAGCCTCAAACTAACCTTTCACTTTACCACTCCCTGCCTTCCCCTTTGCCATTGCTGGCACCATATTCTTCATGTTCATCTTCTAGGTAGCCCACTCGCAACAGCAGCAAGCCACCGGCCATGTCGCTACACTGCCTGCCCTTGCCTACAGTCTGCTGCCTGCAGATGTGCCTGATATCTGCCCCGGCAAAACAATCACATGTCTGCTCCAGGCCCCCCCCTACACACCACTATGCTAGCAGCTTGTGTTTCTACGAAATTCAGAAGGTTCCAACATAACTGTAATGCTATGCTAAATTTTACTCCATGCGGAATAGGGCAAATATGCATTGCTATATATATTTAACATTGCCCAGGATAGTTCTTGACCCTCGGCAGAATAATTCACTTAAGATAAGATAGCTTAATTAAAATACATTAACAAGAAAATAATGTGGTAGGTTGAACTTCTTTGCAGTGGTGCTGAAGCTTTCCTGGCAGATTTGACAATTAGCCTCACTAATCAGGTTCTTCGTATCACTGAAGAAAAATGAAGGCCAGTCACAATTTTGAATGGATAGATAACCGTCTAGTATCAACCAACTAATAGTAAAAATACGTGAAGATGGTACTATCATCCGGCATTCAACGCTGCTCCCATGATTGCAGAATGGGCAGGAAAAGACCGTATCGAGTTTGTCCATCCACTTCCTAGGGGGTGGCCTAACGGCCGCTTTTCTCTTCCCAATGGTTCAACTTCTCTCCTTCATTCAAAATCTACAAAGAGCAGCGGTGTTATAATCTATCTATCAAAATGACGAATTGATGATAATACATATAACACATCAATGGAGTTGCTAATCAGGAGGAAATCAATAGTTGATATTTTCCTGAAACATACAACAATTGTACGCATGAGGGTATTCAGATGCATAGTAGTAATTATTAGTATTACCATAATAAAAAGCACCAAGCTATCACGCATCATCCATTGTAAAAGATCCCTGAAATTTGCAACCACGCAAGATAAGACAGCGAACCAATCATACACATATCATCCAGAAGATGGAATCAAGGAACACAACAACATGCATGATCCTACCATGGACAATACACCCAGGGGCGGATCTGGCATAGAAATCGTGTGAAGGCCCCATCCCTACCCTACTCGAATTGATCGATTTGGTTTAAAAAGAAAGAGAATTGAGGCCGTAGTGGATGAGAAGAAACAACCCATCTAGCTGCTCATGCATACCTCAAAGAGAGGGAGGAGATAAGAAGGCCGGACGAAGACTGGACGGGGTGGAGACAGCAGCAGGATGTCCCCAGGCCAGAGGAAGTTCCGGAGAGGCGACGGCGAGGGGTGGAGAAAGCAGCAGGATGTCCGCCTCGATGCCCTTGTGCTGCACCTGGGCGCACTCGCGACAGTCTTGCTCCTCGTCCATGAGCGCCCGGTAGAGCACCAAGAGCAGCCTACTCCTCGCGCCCACTCCGGGCCCGGAGACGGTTGAGGCGGCTGCGTCCTTCGAGGCGAGCGTATGGAAACGTGAGGCCTGCCGGAGGTGAGGGAGAGGAGGCAGCAGTGGGTGAGTCGGAGCGGGGCGAGGGAGAGGAGAGAGATGGTGGTCGCCATTTTCGTCCTCTGCTGCCCGCTTATCGTGTGGGATGGTGAAGAGGGAGAAGAGGGGAACTTGGGAGGAGATCCCCGCCTGCGTCGCGTGGGGGCGGCGGTGGACACGACGCGGCCGTGGGGAGAGGTGAGCGGGGCGAGGGGAGGGAGCAGTTATTTTTGGGAGACAGAAGTGGAGAGAAACAAGAAAAATCTTTGGTTGTTTCCATAATTAAGGGAATCATGCGAGCGAGGGAGATCACGCACTACATTTTGTTCCATAAATCAGGCAGGTGGGCCGCGGGATCGAGGGATGCGGAGCGCGGAGAATTGGCCGACGATAGCGTCTGCTTGGCAGAATATTTAATCTGAGACGTTGATCTATTTCGCTGATCATTGACATAATATGGACGGTAGGATATGTTTAAGTTAATTTAATTAGAAGGTCCTGATTATTCCATGTACAATTTGTTGTGTGGTTTTAGAGGAGTTTATGTTTGCTCTTTTAATAATAGTATAGATACAGATTTAGTCCGAGACGGACAAGATTTGGTTCCCTGGGCCGTCCCATTTGTCTCGACCAGTTTTTTTTGGGGTCGCCCGTTGACTTGGCCTTGGTCACAAACGTGGTGGTTTTCACCGATTTTACTCTGCGGGCTCCGGCCCTGCCCTAAAACACGGGCGCCAAGACGCGGACGACGACTCTTTTCCGCCGCCGGCCACCGCAGTCAGTGGCAGCTGCTACCCGCCGACCAAGTACGTTCTCACCGGACATTAATCCCAAGCTCATGTGAAACCATATGCCTTCTTCCTCTCCTGAAGAGTGAAGTCCTGGCAGATCCTGACCGAAAAAACCATGCTCAACCACCCCACTCTGCCGCCCCAGTTTCTCCCACCCCCGCAGCGCCGCCGATCTTGCTGGTACGGACGCAGGCAGCCCGAATCAATCCGACTGGTAATGCCAATACCACCCCCTTCCTCATCACCTGCATTACTTACGATCAGATTGCTCGATGCGTTTCATCCAGATCTCGCCGATACGCGTGCAGCGGGTGTTCCATGGGTCGGTCGGGCGAGCGATGAAGAGTGGCCCGCATTCAGATGATGGGCTCAAGGTGGTAAGTATCTAAAGCACCAGTCCCATCCCCCCTTTTAGACTCAATTTTGCAGCAAGTGTTGCAACCCAAGGCATGTGCAAGTTAATTTGTGAATGAGTAAAATGCATCATAAGTCCTAAAACTATCGGAGGTGTGTCAGTTTAGTCCTATAACTTTGAAACTGCATTTTTGGGTCCTAAAACTATCAGAGGTGTGTCAGTTTAGTCCTATAACTTCGAAACTGCACTTTTGGGTCCTAAAACTATCAAAGGTGTGTCAGTTTAGTCCTATAACTTTGAAACAGTAGTTGTGGGTCCCAAAACTATGTAAGTTTCTTCCTCTTAGGTCCTAAGCTTGCATGGTTAGCATTGACCCACCAACGTGTCACTTGGAAATGCTTGGATTGTAGCCACGTTGACCTGACCCAATGGGCCCACCAGGTAAATATGCAAAAAAAACTAGAGCGTTGTCTCGCCTCATTCGCACGCGCTCATCTTCTCCCATGCACAGAATGCTCAGAGGCGACGGTACAGAGGCCATCAGTGGAATGATGGTTTGAGCTCCAGCGAGGAGAGTAGACCGGTCATCTCAGCCTCCCCCAACAGCAGCAGAACGACATGTTGCACAACGTCCAATTGCTACCCACCTATGGCTACTGCTAGGGTTGTGTCACTCTCGATGACCTCTGCGCCAGCTTTGCAGTTTCCGCGCACTCCTCTGTGTCGCCCGACAGCTCACCACCTATGACCATGCTCGTGCCCAAACAACAGCCTGCACGGCCAACTCTACGGCAAGGGTGTCGGGGCAACGACGATATCATCAAACAGAGAGAGAGAGAGAGAGAGAGAGAGAGAGAGAGAGAGGTGGGATGGCGTACTCCATCCCAATTGGCTCGGGATCTCCCCGGCGGCCTCGTCGAGGGAGAGGGATGTCGTCCTTCATGCCGACTAGCTCGGGGTCTCCCCGACGGTCACGCCAAACCTCTCAGGGAGGCTACCGTGCAGCTCATGGCCATGGAGGTGGTGGGCATGCAGGTTGCAGGACACACTGCAACGTGGAAGTGTATGTACCACTTTGGGGGATATAAACACATACAAAGGGCTCATTTGAAAAAATGCACCATGGATGGTGGCCATGCAAGATTAGGACCTCAGATGAACAAACATACATAGTTTTGAGACCCAAAACTGCAATTTTGAAGTTATGGGACTAAATATGACACACCTCCAATAGTTTTAGGACCCAAAAGTGCAGTTTCGAAGTTATAGGACTAAACTGACATACTTTCGATAGTTTTAGGACCCAAAAGTGCAGTTTGAAAGTTATAGGACTAAACTGACACACCTATGATAGTTTTAGGACTTGTGATGCATTTTACTCTTTGTGAATTCTTTCTGCTATACAATCAAAGTGGGTAGTAATGGGTATAAATAGCAGTGGGTGATAGTGCCAGAAAATGCTAAATCAGAAGCATCAGATCATTACAGCGAGTGTGCAAGACAGTTCGTGAAAAATAAAATAAAATTCAGCAGCACTCACTGAAGATAAAGTTTTTTCTAGGTCGGCTAGTTACTTCTAGTAAGCTCACACTTTGGTAATGGTAGATGCTAACATAATGGACCATTGTGGTGCACCAGTGAATCTCCGTCATGGTGGCTGAGCTAACTGAAGATATCAACAGCGAGATGCTCCATCTCCATAGCTCGGAGGAGCTTCGAAGCCAACGCACTGGCATAGACCGAGGAGCCCTCAGATATCTGCACAGTAGGTAAGAGATGTCAAGCAGAATGGTACCACCATGTGTGATAATACAGTAGAAACGGGGAAGAGGGCCAATGTGTTGCTTTGAGTAAAGAAATCTGATTGTTACCTTTGTGTTGAACATGAATATACGTTGATCTCCAATAATCCCCCCAACAACATGGATGAGTTCAAGACGAAACTCATCAATAACCTTTGCAGCACAAAGCAAAGAATTAGTCTTCTTCTTTTCAGTGAACTTGATGTTGATCTCATTACCAACTATGCGGACATCAACATGGCATTCCTTGGACCTCCTTTGTATCCATGAGCTCCTTATAGCTCCATTCAGCTGACTGTCTTGATCGTCCTTCACTTGCTGCAGCGACGAACTTTCTCCGTTGTCACGTGCTGCGTCATCCAACTTAAGCATCTTCATCCTATGTTTGGTATCGCCTTCCACCAAACTTGTCAGTTCCTTCAATGTTCTGTTCAGCTCATTGATGTATTCGATGGCATCTCCAACTATAGAGGCTCGGTCATTCTAAAGAAAAATATTGTAATAACCCATAACATCACATTCACGAGAAATACAAGAAGTGTACACAATTTAAAAAGATTTTGTCATGATTCCATTTGTCTTATTTGCCTTAGATAGCCGGAAGATACCTCTTAAGGATCAGTATGGTTGGTGATAAGGTAATGCTGTATATGTCAAATCAAATCCCATTTGATCTATGTAAGATTATTTTTCTGTTTCACAACTGTTTTATCTTCAGCGTTTCACAACTGTTTTATCTTCGGTTAAGCAAAAAGTGACAGATCCTAAAAATCTAACAATGGTAATGTATTTATGCTGCATAAACAAAGGAGTTGCATTCGAATTTGTTGTCTTTGGATACTAATGATCTATGCACATCAATTTTTCAACTAAATCCACCGAGAACTCCAGTATGCACCTACAGAAAGGTCCAGCATACACTTTCCCCAACATAACGTATGCCATCTATGTGGAGGAACTTATATTAGGTGGACTTTGTAGCTAGGAAACTTTGTAAAAGCTTGCTGGTGATGAAAACATAAAAAAAAAATCAGGTTTGTTTTGACCTTCTAAATGCCAGTGGTAGTGGTTCTTTTTATACTGTTAGAAAATATTGTTGGCTTCATACTGAAATGGCGCCACATCTGGAAACTAATAAAAGACAGCGAATTTTGTAGAAAATTCACGTGATTAGTTGCCATTTAAGTGATTTATCAGTAACTGTGAGAACCAAAAATCATTTAAAATCTAGAGAAGATGTGTTGAACAAACCTTCGTAGGGCTTGGCAGCAGTGATCTTAAAGCCCCATATTTCACATTTATCTGCTCCCTCCTCTCTTTTTCAGTTGCAAAGTTAGCTTTTGCCTTGCCAAAGCCACCTTTCTTACTTCTTCCCAGTTTGGGACTACCAAACTGCCTCCCGTCTATCTCTTGGAGAATATTTCCTGCAGCTCCTACTACCCCCATCGTCCGATCTCTCTCATCATCACTGGAGAACAGCCCAAAACTTTGCGGAAGTGAATGATAGAGATCCTTGAATAGGTGAGATTGATTACCATTATATTGTAATGGTAGAGTTAAATCACCGAGCATCATCCCACTGTCATGAATTGCTCTTCCCAGAACATCATTGTTGATGTCCAATTGGTTGCCAGCATTCTGCCCTGGATCACCAAAGATATGTTCTGTCGAAGGGAATGCAGTAGTCATACTGTACCTTGGGATCTGTAGAAGATTTAGGAGATCAGGTGCAGTTGTGTGAGCACCATCTGGATATGATGCAGCATCATAGTCATCCATTTGTTGTTCAATTGACTGTTGACTGATGATATGATTTTGGGTACCGAACATTGCAGGAACCCAATTTGAAGTTTCTACCTGGGTCTCCTGTATCATGTGGCCGTGAAGATCCTGATCCATGTCAAATTCAGCCCGATGTTGTATATGGTTGATAGTTCGTGCAGGCTCAGAGGTAAGATTGGTTGGATTGCATATATCTTCTATGAAAAAGGAGGGACCGTGGAAGTTTCCTTGCGCAATCTCTGTACTGTCACAAATAGAGTCCAGGGAATCATGAATCAGTGATCCTGCCATGAGGATAGCATCTCTGGAACCATCAAAATAACCTCCCTCAGCAATCATTTTGTCCTCTGGTGCCTTCAGTCAAGATCTAAAACAACAAAAGTTAGTAACCAAGGAGCCTCAAAGATGTATCTTAAAGTAGTACAATTTTGGGGGAAAAGGAACCAAATGGAAGAGACGAAGCTGATGAACAAATGACACAGTAGCATGTTAGAAGCGGTCAACTGAAATAGCTTGGATCTAAAATAGAGAAAATCATTGGTTCAAGCATGCATATTTAGGAAAAAGGCTACTCAACTTGAATGAAACAGACAATCTGTTTGTTAGATAGAGAAGGCTGCAGCTCGCCTTGGTCGTGTTGGTTGTTCGGAAGAAAGCAAAGACGTGGAGTTTAAGCTAGGCATCTGGTTGTCTCTTCTTTCGATGAGGAGAAGCAGTATTAGCACACTGGACGAGACATGAAGTCTCTTTGCTTCCTCAAGACCCAACAAACTCCAGTGTGTCTTTATTGGTATCATACTATAAATATTAATCTTCGTAGCTTGTGCTTCAACTACCTTAACCTCACCAGTTAATAAGCAGAGACTAATAAAAAATCATGGGTAGTGACCTAAATATCCCTCGTGTTGCTGTAATTTTCTCAGAAAGTGCAAGAAATCAGAAGTTGTTGAAAGTGTTTCAACTTATAAAGCTAAAAGTAAGTTCTCTGAACAAAAGGCAGAACATTATGATCCCATTTTTCTAGGATTTTTTTTAATTCTTTAAAAGTAGGGGTGATGTGTGTCTTGACAGTAGCACTAAAAGCTTGAAGAAAAGAGATGTGAAGAGAGCATTACCAAGATTAATTCTTTCTTGCCAGATCAAATGAAGGAAATGTTGCTCAGAAACTAGTAGCTCAAAAGCATTGTTGAGAACGAGTTGGGGTGCTATGCCAATAATATGTAGGGACTAGAGAAGACTATGGTGAGAACTGGCAAGCAAAATGTAACTGGCATGTGAAGGACTGAAGGCATGGAAACAACAGTTTTTGATCTTCATGTAGAACTTATGAGCATATAACAGAACACGTCAAATAGCAATCATTTCCTAATTGTGTCTTCTAGACAGTGCAAGGGAGGTCAAACCGTCAAAGCTAAGGGCTATCATATCTTCATCATTAAGAACAGAAGACCTGAAAGATGGGAAACTCACACTCTTTGAACTTGGCATCTTTGCTGTTACTCTTCCAGCCGGAAGTTGGGAAATGCAAGTCATGCCTTCTCCATTCTTCCGTATTTTATGCATGTATCGGTACACTCCGCTAGGAGAAACAAACTGTACGACTACTTAAAAGATTGGAGAATTTAAAAGGTGAGCGTCATCCTGCATCTGAGGAGAGCTAACCGTGTTAGCACATACTCCCTCCGTCCCAAAATAAGTGTCTCAACTTTGTACTAGCTCTAGTACACAAAGTTGAGACACTTATTTTGGGACGGAGGGGGTACAATTTAATCATGCCTGTGCTTGTACATCATACATTTTTTTATCAAGAAATGTTCTTTATACAATAGGCTCATCGCTGGCGGATTATCTGGAAGCCATTGTTCTTTTCCATATAATACTTGTACTAGGAATTGGAAGCTACATCTCTTGGAACTAAATACATATGTTTTGTCTGAATTTCTTCTGCAGAAGTGCATTTAACCGAAGCATGCAACCGCTCTCAAAGTCATCTACATAACAAGACAAAGGAACTACCCTGGCTAATGCGGTAACGACATTGTGATCCTATCTTTTCATCCTTTTTGACTGATCAGGAGCCAAGAGATACAGGCACAGGAGTTCAACCTCCATGCTTTGGGTGGCTTTGTGCCTGCGAGAACTGAGCGATCTGTCAACAGAACCATGTTGGAACTTGTTCATGGTCAATCTTGTGATGGGTTGCCTGCCAACCGATGGAGATTACGGTATTATTATCTACTCCCTCCGTCCCACAATATAAGACATTTTGGCATAGCTTGCAAAAACTTCTTATATTATGGGAGGGAGGGATTAGTTGCATAATTCTCTTTCCCTTCGATGATACTGACCGACCTGAAGGAAGAGATCTCGAGTGCTATGGCAGGTCGTCGACAGATTCTTCCTTGAGCACCCCTGAGGCGTTGTACCATCGATACGACTACTCGCTGCATCGACATGAGAAGACCGTCTGGGCGGGGTTTGATCCCAGCCACTTGTTTCGGATCCGATGCTTGAAAAGCCTGTAACAAAGTTCAGGTAGAAAGAAAAACAAAAGGCCTGTAATTATTCTAGATGCTGTCATGTACTGTAACGCAAGAATATTCTTGTGAAGAAAAACATTTTCCTGTTTCTGGATTTGGGAATGGATGCCAATGCATGTGCAGGCACGAGTTAGTCATGGGCGTGCTGGTCGGGACATGTCACCGAGTTCGATTTTACTCGGTGCTCACCTTTTTCGGTGCTCACTTCTAATCTTCTGTGCACACTCAACAACACCGGAATGCCAACTTAATAGAAATAATGTTATTCAGTAAATTTCGTTAAGGGACCATGGCAAAGCGAACATTTTCATGACAATATATGCGTTGGGAGTATGTCAATTTCTTCAAGCAAACGTGGCAATTTGACAAATCCTCTACTGCCAAAATTTGCCGTGTGTTCTTGAGAAATTGTTATGTGTGTTTGAAGAACCTGCCATAAAAAAACGTTCGCAAATGCCATGCTTGGCAGGGAATGTTCGTTGGTTATTGCGGTCCAAAAAAAACGGAATGTACTAGACGATCATTCCCTAAAAAAAACTGGATGAACATTCGCAACGCGTGCTCAGAGTATATAAACTTTCTTAGTACCAACATATGATTCGCAAGCAGAGACGTCGTGGCGGAATACTGTGGTACATTTATTTGGTACCAGATTAGCCTAGCCATTTCTTTGATAAATAATAAAATCTTGACAACTGAGTTTCATATTTTTGAGGGGAACCTTGACTGCTAAGTTTTACATCAGCTATCCTTTTTAGAAAGCCATAAATTTTTAGCCCCTCAAAAAAATTCCGGCCCAGGGAGGGAGGAAGGAAGGCCCATAGAGCCCAGTACCAATCCCTAAAACCGTGGGCAACAACGGCTCTAATCTCTTCTCCGTGGTGACTAGCCGTTGCGTCCGCCCCCGCCGCCGATCCCTACAAATACAGCTCGCGGTCAAATCCCTGAACCTCACAAGTCACCGAGCAATCCGTGGCTTTCTTCTCTCCCTCCCCCCTCTCGTGCTCGCCGCCGCCGCCTCTCTCGCTCCCGATCTGTTGATTGCTTGCTCATCCGATCGATCTGTTGATCCGCGTTTACTTCTGTGATTTCTGTTGCGATTTCTGCTGTTTGTTTCTTCTGTTTCTTCTAACCATGGACGCAGGCTCCCACTCGATCTCTTCCGGCAAGAACAGCGCCGCCGCCGTGCAGCGCCCGCCGCTCCAGGAGGCCGGCTCCCGCCCCTACATGCCACCGCTCAGCACCACCTCGCGCAACCCGGCGGCCAAGTGCTACGTAAGTCGTTTGCTCCGCCCCGAGATCCTGCGGATTCGTTCTGCGCGCGAGCTGTTCGATGGAATGCCTGACTGACATGGTGTTTTTCTCCTCTTCTCTCTCTGTGCGCGCAGGGGGACAGGTTCATCCCGGACCGGTCAGCGATGGACATGGACATGGCGCACTACCTGCTCACGGAGACCAAGAAGGACAAGGAGAACGCGGCGGCCATCGCGGCGTCCCCCTCCAAGGAGGCGTACCGGAGGCTTCTCGCGGAGAAGCTGCTCAACAACCGGACGCGGATCCTCGCCTTCAGGAACAAGCCGCCGGAGCCGGAAAACGTCTTCGCTGCCGACACGGTTTCTTCTCACCAGGCCAAGCCGGCCAAGCAGAGGCGCTACATTCCCCAGGTATGCATGCGCACGCTTGTGGTTCTACTAATGCGTTGGAGCTATAGGTGTAGTAGCATTTGGTGGTGGTGGTTACTGATGTGTGATGTCTGATTGACAATTGCAGTCTGCCGAGAGGACTCTGGATGCACCGGACCTCGTCGACGACTACTACCTCAACCTGATGGACTGGGGGAGCAGCAACGTGTTGTCCATTGCTCTGGGCGACACCATGTACTTGTGGGACGCATCCAGTGGATCAACATCTGAGCTTGTGACAGTCGAGGAGGACAATGGCCCCATCACCAGCGTCAGCTGGGCTCCTGATGGCCGCCATCTTGCTATTGGGCTCAACTCGTCTGACATTCAGCTCTGGGACACCAGCTCCAACCGCCTGGTTAGTATACACTGTCCAGCGTCAGAAAATGTTATTTATGTGTCCAAACGTGCTTGATCAGATGCTGAATTACATTCTTCTTTGTATACACTGTCCAGCATCAAAAAAATGTTATTTATGTGCCTGAATGCGCTTGATCAGATGCTGAATTACAAAATTTGGATATTCGTAGACGAAGAATAGCTAATCTGCTGAATGTGCTTGATCTGCTGATTACATTCTTCTTTGTATACAGTTATACACTGTCCAGCATTAAAAAAATGTTTTTTATGTGCCTGAATGTGCTTGATCAGATGCTGAATTACAAAATTTGGATATTCGTAGACGAAAAATAACTAATCTTGTCTTCGGATTCTGTTCATTAATAGAATAAAAAAAAATGACAAGAGACTTTTTTTCCTGAAATCCCTGCAAAAGAAGAAATTCTACCTCTTTCTATAAGATCTAATGAAAATTGATAAATCCTTTAATATAATTGCTATGCTTGGTGTGTGATCGTTATTTTCTTCTTTGTATGCAGTTGAGGACTCTGAAAGGTGTGCATGAGTCAAGGGTCGGTTCGCTGGCATGGAACAACAACATCCTGACGACTGGCGGCATGGACGGTAGGATTGTGAACAACGACGTAAGGATCAGGGACCATGCCGTGCAGACGTACCAGGGGCACAGCCAGGAGGTGTGCGGGCTCAAGTGGTCAGGCTCAGGGCAGCAACTGGCGAGCGGTGGCAACGACAACCTTTTGCACATTTGGGACGTGTCGATGGCATCCTCCATGCCGTCCGCAGGCCGCAACCAGTGGCTGCACAGGCTTGAGGACCACATGGCTGCGGTGAAGGCGCTCGCATGGTGCCCATTCCAGAGCAACCTGCTGGCAACTGGCGGTGGCGGCAGCGACCGCTGCATCAAGTTCTGGAACACACACACCGGTGCATGCCTCAACTCTGTTGATACTGGATCGCAGGTGTGCTCCCTTCTGTGGAACAAGAATGAGAGAGAGCTGCTGAGCTCACACGGATTCACCCAGAACCAGCTGACATTGTGGAAGTACCCTTCCATGGTCAAGATGGCTGAACTCACTGGCCATACCTCCCGTGTCCTCTTCATGGCACAGGTACATCTTTCTGGCCATTTTTTGTACAGATACTATCAACATGTTAACCTGTTTGTTCATTGCCTGATCATCTTGTCATGCTGTGGAATTGCAGAGTCCTGATGGTTGCACGGTAGCATCTGCTGCTGCGGACGAGACCCTCCGCTTCTGGAACGTGTTTGGCACTCCTGAGGTAACCAAGCCTGCACCCAAGGCTTCACAGTCCGGCATGTTCAGCAGCAGCTTCGCCCATATCCGATGAAGACAACAACGTGAACAATCTCTTGAACTGGATATGGTTCTATGGGCAGCTGTGTAGTGTACAGAATAATAGGCTAAATACCTGGGTATATACTGCTGATGTACTGACTTCACTGTGGATAAGGAAATATACGGATGGAGCCGCCGCAATTCGGCTCCCGGGGACGTAGGCACATTGCCGAACCTCGTTAACAAATGCCTCCTGTGTCTTTTGTTGGCCTGTGTTTCCTTTACTTTGTGTGCATTCATCTCATCCAGAAAAGGTTTAGAGGTCATGTTCTTCCAGAATCGCCCTTTGCTGAGCAGAGGGCCTGATGGAGCATCATATATGCTCCTTTCCGTAATTAACCTCCACTCTTCAGAAACTGAACATAAGTACACATCGTATAAGATCGATCTCATTCTCATCGTTGCTGGTTACCTGTAACTTGAGATAAGATCCATTCGTTTGATGTAAAAATTCTCTTATAACTGACCTAATTTGTTGTTTCTCTTTGGGACTCATTCGGTTGAATCTACTGAACTTGCGTTCTGAAGAAGACCATTTCAGGGTGACAGAAGTCCACCGTCCGCAATGCCGATATCGGATTAGGATCCGAATGTTTTCCAGTAACTCGTTCAAAAATTCAGACACGCCACTCTATCTTGGTCCAACTCATGATGCCGAACAGCATACAGCAGTGACCTCCTTTTAGAAGAAGGGTAATTTAATCCAACCCAAAAAGTGGTGGCAGAGAGCAGCCGGGAAGAGGACCGTGCATTTCCCCAAGACCCACGCAAGGAACAGCGCTCCCACGTGGCCGAGGTCGCACCGCCCCTTTGTCGCGTTGCGCACCGCACCCCCGGGGCAGTCCGGCTCGGCCGGCCGGCCAGCCGAGCGCCAGGCTCGCCGGTCCGCCACGACGACCGTACCAGCACCAGCACCAGCAGGCGACCGCCGAAGCAGGCGGCGGTAAACGAATAGATTCCGTGTCCCCTCCCTCTCCCCCGCCTCCCACGGCCGCGCCCGCACAGCTCACCCTCTGACCCGCTGCCGCACCGCCACCCAACAACCAGACCCCCTCGGATCCTCCTCCCCCTCCTCCTCGGCCAGCGGCGGCATGTGGCCTTTTAAACAAGTCGTACCGCCGCGGACCACGCCGCAGCATATGTTCATGTGGGGTGGGTTGGCCGGCCGCCTTGGCCCTTGGCAGCGGCGCGACGACGACGACCACCCTCTCCATCAGATCAGAGCCTCCGTTTGGTTTGCATGCAGCGCATGCGCCAGACATGCGTACCCGGCCGGCCGGCCGGAGGGAGATTTTGATTCGGCTCAACCAGAAAATATCTTGGTGTTTGTCCGTGATTGACCTGATTGGTGAGGGTCTCAGCAAAAGGAACAAAGCTAACATGGAACGATGCTCTCTGCTGCTGTTGCTAATCTGCTGATCGGCTATAGCACCGATTTTCTTTTTACAGCTGATGTGATTATATATTGTTAGGGCTATTGTTACCGCTGGCTGGAGAGCGAGGCATGTGTACGGCTACATGTGTGCTCGATTGGAAGGGAATATGGCGAAAGCACGTGCTTAGCGATGGGTGTTACGACCTCGATGGGAACAGATGAAGACTGTTGGCCGGCCGGTCTGCCTTTAAGCATACGATTCTAGTTCCAAAAGCCAAACCTAAGTATGCGATTCTCGGGGGGAGGAGTTTGCTTCAAGGAGCATATAAAGCGGGAATCAGAACAAAGACAAAACCAGACGTGGGCTCCTCAAATGAGTCAAATCTATATGCTCCAAGGGGAATCTTATGCTGACCCCAATGCTGCAAGCATTTCACACCATTAGGCCATCTCCAACAGTGATCCGTAAATTTCTGCCCGCATTCATTCGTGGACAAAGGGAATAGTCCGCGAATACGGCGCGGGAGGCCATCATACAACGTTATCCGCATACATTTCAACCCGCATATGAACTAACCGGACGAAGTTCATGCAAACCGGCCGATATTCATCAAAGTTTGGATAAAAAATAGCATAAATTATCGATACATAGCATGCAAATTAAGTCTAGTACAACAATGTCTTAAATTCAACTAATTAACCGCATATCCAACTAGTTTTTCATCAACGGATCATGCCCTCCCACACATACTCCTCCTCGAGCTTCATCCAACGGTGTGTGTACGTAAATGGCGGTCCCTCTAAAATGTGTTACATCATGGTAGCACGTGCGGGCTACATAATGTGTACAACAACATTGAGTGAACGAATCAATCAACAAGTTGAGCAAGAGGAAGCAAAACTTACGATCTCGTCCTCTATCGTGTGCAATGGCCACCTTGCCTCCGGCTGACGAACCACGTTACAAAACTTGGTGACGCTAGTTTGGATAGCGTACCAGCACTACGATAGCAACTGCACATTGCGTTGTTGAATGATGTACATGTCGTAGGGCGCAATGTGCTTTCATGCGTGAAACGATTTATTCACTTGGTGCCAGAAGGTCCCCCCTCTGCCACTGCCTACGAAATCTGCGAATACGGCCAACCACGCATCGCACAACAACTCATTCTCCATGATCGAGTAGCTCGGCATCCTTCGTACTCTAAAAATGACATAGTGCTCGAAAATAAGCTCAATGGCATTTGATCGAAGACCAGCCGAGCGTGGTGTCCTTCATGGAGGTCGTCTACAGGGGCGGAGTGTACCTGGGTACAAACGGCTTCACGGTGGACAACGCCATCATAGAGGCGAGTGAGCGTGTTGGTGCTGGTTGCGGACGTTCGGCAATGCCTCTGTGGTGACCAAAGACGTACAGCAGCGACGGCGGAGGTGGAGGGTGCGGATGGAAAGCAAGGGGGAGAAGGGGCAGAGTGGAAGGAAATGAGACCGGGAGAGGGATTGGGTGGGCCGGGGTCATCCAGGCTAGTGCCTCCCTGCAGTTCTGTTTGATCTAATTCCTGACTTATAAGTTCACATATATTTCAAAACCTTCGGGGCCAGACCCGAAACAATTTTATCGTCGCCACAAGTCTCTGTTTCGAAGCAATCTCATCTGAAGCCCTTTCCCGGCATTCTGCCGAGGGGGAACCCATCCATGGAGGTCTCTTCATCAAACTTGTTGCCTCCATGGTGATGTGTTAGTAGTTCATCCTCGGGGGAGGATTTGTACCAGTAGTTATGTATTTGATCTCTCTCTTTCATGTTTTTGATGGATTTTGATCTTGACTGTATCATGAGCTTGATTAATAAAGTTGGATCTTATGATGTTCATCTATCTCTATTCTTTTTGTGGTGAATTGAATATTGCTCTTTGAAGGTCCTTTATGTTGGATTGAGTACTTTGGATTTGAGGTTACATGTTGTTTTTCTAATAATTAACTTGTGGATATTTGAGGTGACATTGAGGTACTCTTAGCATAAAGGTTGAACGACAATATCATAAGGTGTTGGTTCAATAGATTGATTGGAAACACAACTTTGAAGTGGTTTGCTAACTACGTGATTTCATCCGCTTGAGTGAATTTACTGTTGTTCTACAAAACTATGCGTTTGGAGGCCCAACAAAGTGTATAAAATGAAGTTATGTAGTTCCCTTTATAGGTCAGAAGCAGCTGACATCAAATCTTCATTTTCAAATTTCATCCGCGAAATAAAGCCCACACAAGAAAACTAGAGCACCGCACCAAAAAAATACGTCGTCACTTTGTTTTTGTTTTGCGGAATATGTCGTCACTTTGTTAATGGTGAATTCAAATTGTTGCTCAAGAAAATAAAAATGTTCTCGTTGCGTCCGCTTTCCAGTTCCAGACTTTCTTTTCCTGAGATTATTAAAGCTGGCTCGGACATTAATACAGATTTCAGTCCAGACTTGGACATGCGGCGAAACCATTTTCAGAGACTTTTGGCGCGCGCACATACACACTGTTGTGTCACGTACCGTCCAATCCATACGCACACACTCCAAAAAAAAGTCCATACGCTCTTCGCTGTTTTTTTTCTTTCTGACGGACATCTCTTGGCTATCGAGGCCGGACGGAACGGAGGCGAGGACAGAAAAGAACAATCGCAAAAGCAAAAAAGCAAAGCGTGTGGGGGGCGGCGGTCGCAACCAAGTTGGCGCGAATATTCCCTCTGAGCGAGGGGCCAGGCGACATCATCGCCAACATCTCCCCGCGTCTCTCTCGCCCCCGCCGCTCCTCCACTCTCCGCCCCCGCCGGGCCACTCGCCGGCGCCGCCGCCGCCGGAATATTCGCCGTGGAGGTTTCTATAGATCAGAACCGTACGAGTTCCAGTTCCATCGACGTGTGCTACTGCTACAAGCTGTTAGTTTCCTCGACCTAGGAGAGCGAGGCTAGCTTGGCCTGGTTTTGGTCCGTCGACCTCCCTTGGTCCCGGCGGGTGAGCCGATGGAGCTATCGATGCGTGTTGTCGTGATCATTGACCGGCGAGGCGACACCCAATCGCCAACGATCTTTAGGCAAAATCTAGCAAGTGAGCAATGATCATCTTTAGCAAAAAACAAAGGCGCGTCCGTCATGATCGATCGGAACAACAGACAGCGCCTCCCTCGCCTCGCTAGCTACGTAGAGTACGTAGCAGCACGACCGGGACCCGGCGGCAGCGGCGCACATGCACACATGGCGCAACCGCCCGTGTCGGGGGCCGCGGCGACCACGTGGCGCGCGCCCTTCCCGGGCCCGATCGGCCGGCCATACGCCGCCGGCGGCCCTCCACGCGTCGCGCCCCGGTTGGCGCTCGGTCGGTTTGTCTAGCTCACCCTAGCGCAAGGCTCCCCGAGATTCCAAGCGCCGCGCCGCACGCATGATCGACCGAGCAGCGCACACGATGCTGCGGCATGCGATGCGATGCCCGGCGTCCGGTTCGGTTCGGTTCGGTTCATGCTCTCTCGCCCGCCTCGGCGCCCATCTCTCTCCCCACCTGTCTACTTACATATCGCCGCACCGCACCGCACCTCCTCCCCGCGTCTCTATCTCCGCCCACGCCCGGCCATATA